GCGTTTAAAAATAAATAATAATTCGTTTTCAATTTAGCAGTACAACATATTTTTTTGGTTTTTACCAAATAACTATCTAACTAGCTAATCGTCAGCGATAAACTATAATTTATTAGGTATATCAATATTTGTATGCTAGGTGCGTATCTTTATCGGCATTTGATATGTAACTAACATTATAGCTCATTACGATTTTCAATAAAGTTTGTGCAACATCGTGTTTTGTCGTTAATGTAAATTGCATTTTAAACTATACCAATATGTTAAATATTGTCGAAATTTATGAACTTTTTGAACGTAAGCAACGTGGTCCATTAAGCATGCCAATCATAGAGACATTGCAGTCTTGGGGACTTATTGCCAACGTCAGTACTTTAAAATGCAATAAAKGTCATTTCTTATTATTGTGTCCTAATGTCAACTCTATGGATGGTTTTGTTTGGCGGTGCAGAGAAACTTCGATCGATAAAAGTAAAAAAAAAGTGAAGTGCGATTTTCAACAATCGGAAATTTACTTTTTTCTCCAAGTCTCACCTGTCAATCTACCAAATTGTAATGTTTGCTTATTTATGGACTGAACAAGTATCACTTGAATTCATACGTAAACAAACGGACATAGCACGACAGACGTCTGTCGATTGGGGCTCTTTTCACCGGGAAGTTGTTTTTGACGGAATGATTATTCGACATAAAAAAATCGGTATGTATTACATTACATTTTTTATTTGATTTTAATTTTTCGAGCGAGCGAGTGACAATGCTGGTTGTATTATGTGTTTATATAAAAGTTAACTTTTAACTTTAAACCTAACTTACATTTTTCTATATTAACTTAATTTAACAAGTTAAAAAAAAAGTTAACTTGCCCAGTCTTGGCAAACTGTGTAATCACTGCTCATATYCTACGACGACATAACTTACCCTGTGACCTACTTGAGGTGGCGTTGCATAGCAAGTCGAGGGATATTTTCGATTTGTGCGGAGCGGAGCGACGGCACCGAGGAGCGTAGCGACAATTGCCGAAACACGCGCAGTCACATTTTTAAATTTATTAAATGTATTTTAACCCGATATCTACTTGAGGTGGCGTTGCATAGCAAGTCGAGGGATATTTTCGATTTGTGCGGAGCGGAGCGACGGCGCCGAGGAGCGTAGCGACGAGTGCCGAAACACGCGCTGTCACATTTCTTGCATTTCACATTTTAGTAGACATTTTATAATTATAAATATAATTATAATTATACATAGGTGGTGAAAGAAAAATCGTAGAAATAGATGAGTCAAAATTCGGCAAAAGGAAATACCATAGAGGCCATCGTGTCGAAGGTCAGTGGGTGTTTGGTGGCGTGGAACGTGAAACTGGGAGATGTTTCTTAGTTCCTGTTGAACGCCGGTGTAACAGGCGAATCATACCCCCGGGGGTATGATTTTCCTAGGTTAATAGTACCCCCGGTACAAATATCCTAGTATAATAATACCTCCATCGGGGTATGAAAAACTAGGAAATTTGTACCCCGGGTATAATATTCCTAGGATATCTATACCTCCTTAAATTTCATACCGGGGGGTACGAATATCCTAGCAATTTTGTACCCCCTGTATAATATTCCTAGGATATTTCTATACCTTAAACTTCTTACCGGGGGGTACKAATATCCTAGCAATTTTGTACCCCCTGAACAATATTCCTAGGATATCTATACCTCCTTAAACTTCTTACCGGTGGGTACGAATATTCTAGCAATTTTATATGCTCGGACGCAAATTAGTGCTCTTTATACTCTATGTGCATCGCTGCATCTTTCTGCTAGCAGAAGTTTTTTTAGAAGAACATTTTTTTGGCCCTATCAAAATACTTAAAAAATTAATACAAAGTTCCTCATAAGTTATTTTTAWAGTAATTAAAAAATTATAAAAATACATTGGCATAATTTTTTTTTATTA